AAGCTCTGTTGTGTTTCTTCAGGACGATCGGACTTCCCGAGCGTTTGGGAACGAATAGCATGAGACCGGGTTGTGTAGTCTCGAGCTGACTTTTCATCCGCCTTCTTACTTCTTCTTTTCATTCTCTTTCCTTTCTATTGTTCCCCCTTTCCCCTCCAACCAAATGCAGGGCAGCCAACTGAGCCAAAGCTTGGTTGACTTCCCTGCCTTTCCTCTCCATTTCTTTCTCTTTTCTAAACAGAAATCCCCACATACTGCTGCAACGCTAGCTTTTTCTGCATAGCTGCGAAGCACTACCGTAAAACCAACTTTAAACACCGGAAATTCTTGTTTTTTTTTGTTTTTTTTTGCCTCTACGCAACACGTTTCGGGGCTAGTTGTGAAATATTCGCGCGTTACTTCATAGGAGGACGGGCCTGCGAAATGCGAGACAGGACTCCAACTGTAGAGCCACCACTCGTCCTGACGACGCACGTAGTTGAAGTCGGTTTTTTTTCTTTTTGTGTCTTGTAATTTTGCCGTGGTAATTTTTTTATTTAGAACTGGTGGAGAGAGGAGATTGATTGATATGTGGGGTTTAACGTCCCAAAACCACTATATGATTACGAGAGACGCCGTAGTGGAGGGCTCCGGAAATTTGGACCACCTGGGGTTCTTTAACGCGCACCCAAATCTGAGCACACGGGCCTACAACATTTCCGCCTCCATCGGAAATGGTGGAGATGGTGGAGAGAGGAGAGGCGTCTTACACTTGATACGACAAACAGTCATGTGAATACGGCATAGCCCGGTGTCCGAGAGTTGACGAGAGTTTTTGACAGCGTCTTTGTTAAGTGAACTTCCGTAGTTGCCTTCGTGCTGCAGTGGAGAGTTGTGATTTTTCTTTTCCGAAACCTCCATTGGCGTTCGCAGACTACTGTAGGCGTGAACACAATTGGCCCGGACATGGTGACACCACCCGGTAATCGATGGATGATCAAGTACTAGGTACAACTAATCACGCGCGAACGTATACACCGATAGGCAGGGTTCCTCTACTGCATGTGGAGGCACCTAGACGTACGCCATCAATGCGCGGGATATTCAATAAAGTTGGCACAATTACAGAGTTTGCTACAAGTACACTAGAAGGAACTCTGGCGCTAGAGCCCATGGCAGCCACATCGCATGACGCTACAGCCAGAATGGGAATTATGGGTCGTGAATGGATTTGTCTAAACTTCGTTCTTCCGGCTTCGTTCGGCTGCGTGTGGCCTGCATCCGCTTTGTCTGAAGTCAGGGTTCCGCAAATGTTTGACAGATCCACGTCATCACCTTAACCCTTCGGCAAGGTTCCTTTTGGCGTTGCATAAGTCAGTTGCCAGAATTTGCAGCTTTGTTTGCCGTCCGCGATCTCAAGACGCGATGAACCTGTGCTGTGTCGCGTGCGGTTGGGCGTGACATTTACGAATGCGTGTTTGTATCTCATCGGAATGGCCAGCAAGTGCGGCATTCGACATGTGCGCCTACGAGGGGACGCTCGAGCACATTCTATGCCACCGCCCATCATACCGGGCTCAACTACGTGGTATGGAAGCCAAAAAAAAAAAAAAAAAAAAAAAAACTCCGTCACTTGTATTCAAGACCACTAACAGAAAAAGAAGATATTGGAACCTTGGCCAATGATCTCGCATACGCGCAAGTCTACGAAAGCTCTATTGTGTTTCTTCAGGACGACCGGACTTCCCGAGCGTTTGGGAACGAATAGCGTGAGGCCGGGCTGTGTAGTCTCGAGCTGACTGTTCATCCGCCTTCTTACTCTTCTTCTTTTCATTCTCTTTCCTTTCTATTGTTCCCCCTTTCCCCTCCACGCGAATGTAGGGTAGCCGACTGAGCCAAAGCTTGGTTAACTTCCCTGCCTTTCCTCTCCATTTCTCTTTCTTTTCTAAACAGAAATCCCCACATACTGCTGCAACGCTAGCTTTTCTGCATAGCTGCGAAGCACCACCGTGAAAGCAACTTTAAACACCGGAAATTCTTGTTTTTTTGTTTGTTTTTTTGCCTCTACGCAACACGTTTCGGGGCTAGTTGTGAAATATTCGCGCGTTACTTCATAGGAGGACGGGCCTGCGAAATGCGAGACAGGACTCTAACTATAGAGCCACCACTCGTCCTGACGACGCACGTAGTTGAAGTCGGTTTTTTTCTTCTTTTTGTGTCTTGTAATTTTGCCGCAGGAATTTTTTTATTTAGAACTGGTGGAGAGGGGAGAGGCGTCTTACACTTGATACGACTAACAGTCATGTGAATACGGCATAGCCCGGTGTCCGACAGTTGACGAGAGTTTTTGACAGCGTCTTTGTTAAGTGAACTTCCGTAGTTGCTCTCGTGCTACAGTGGAGAGTTGTGATTTTTTCTTTTCCGAAACCTCCTTTGGCGTTCGCAGACTACTGTAGGCGTGAACACGATTGGCCCGGACATGGTGACACCACCCGGTAATCAATGGATGATCAAGTACTAGGTACAACTAATCACACGCAAACGTATACACCGATAGGCAGGGTTCCTCTACTGCATGTGGAGGCACCTAGACGTATGTCATCAATGCACGGGATATTTAATAAACTTGGCACAATCATGGAGTTTGCTACAAATATACTAGAGGGAACTCTGGCGCTAGAGCCCATGGCAGCCACATTGCATGGCGCTACAGCCAGAATGGGAATGATGGGTCGTAAATGGATTTGTCTAAACTCCATTTTTTCGGCTTCGTTTGGCTGCGTGTGGCCTGCATCCACTTCGTCTCAAGACAAGGTTCAGCAAATGTTCGACAGATCCACGTCATCGCCTTAACCCTTCTAGGTTCACCAATCAGACTAGACTTACGAAGTTCGCAACGAACCACCCTTCCACCCGAAACAAATGCCAAAGCACAACCGTGAACAAAGCCACACGTGCGTTTGAAGTGCATATCTTGGGCGAATCCCGCGTACTAACCACCATTCCCGTGGTGGCTGATCGATTGCAGCGCCAGAGTACCCTCTAGTAAATATTGTAGCAAAACTTTCTGGTCCTCTCCCCCCACCCCCCTTCCCCACAGAAACACAACCCAAGACACAAATTCTTGCGCCTGTAGTAACTAGATCTCCTTCAAACTGGGTTTTTGAAGTTTCTAGTCCAACATACAAGACGTTCCCTTCAGTGGTGTAACCGAACATAACTTTGTGTCCAGCGACTCTTCGTGGATCGTTTGGAATCGTCCACGAACCGAGCAGATTGAGGGAGCATGCTGGAGAGGATGTAGCAGGTGGCAAGGGGGAGGGAACAGTGTGTGAATGCTGAACATCGGTAGTGGCAAAACCCAAATCGCTTCTCTCTTTTTGTCCGGAGTCATTCAGAAACGATCAGCGACGGGCGGATATGACCTGAGAACATTCAATTCCAGTTTGATATCAACCCGTCACGGTTATATGTTTGGAGTCCAGGAAGAAGAAAGAGCGAAGATGAAGAAAAAGACACGAACTAAGAACTGAAGAAGTGGGTATATACCTGATGCATCTACCTTTTAACATTCTTTTTGTACTGACACACAACATATTTTGGCCACGAGGGAGTGGTCCCGTAAGTTCTACGACTGATGTCATTCTCAGTGGCACCCTTAACTCAGTCGCTTAGCGACGCCTAGAAGCGACAAAGGGAGAGGTAGAGAGAGAGGTGTTGAAGCAAAGATTGTCATCCTGATAATCTTGTGCATAAACCCTTCCCGTTGCGATAATGTCGCGAAACGCTGCACTAGGGGGTTGTGCCGAATCGGGTGAGTCAGGCGAAACCTTTGACCTAAGCAATTCGGAACGCCGGCTGGTCCCTTTCTTCTTTCCATCCCACACAACCATTTTTCGCGCTTGTTCTTGGTTTGATGATTGATATGTGGGGTTTAACGTCCCTAAACCACCATTTGATTATGAGAGACGCCGTAGTGGAGGGCTCCGTAAATTTCGACCACCTGGGGTTCTTTAACGCGCACCCGAATCTGAGCGCACGGGCCTACAACTCTTCCGCCTCCATCATAAATGCAGCCGCCGCAGCCGGGATTCGATCCCGCGACCAGCGGGTCAGCAGCAGAGTACCTCAGCCACTGGACCACCGCGGCGGGGCATTTGTTTTTTGCTACTATTTTGTTTGGGTTTGAGGAGAATGTACAAAGCACACTCATACACGCAGTCAGGTCTTGTCTTCTTCAAGTCGCAGCCTCGAAGAAAAGAAAGACGTTTTGTCGAAACGTTATGCTCCAGCGAATCTTCGCATTCAAGCATTGGGCGACCGCTTGTGTTAACCGTGCACTGTATGTGTGTTGTGAAATGTGTCTCCTCGTTTCTCTCTCTCTTTCTTGTCCTCCCTTACTACCCTCCCCACGAGTAGGGTAGCAAAGTGGATGTATAGTCACATCTTTCTTATATTTCTTCTCTCTCTTTCTCCACGCTCATACTGTTTAATTTCTTCAAGCTGCCAACATCCCCTGAAATTCTGCCTTTTCTGGGTCATCGAAAAGGAAGGGAAGAAGAGGAGAGAAAGAATAGGCATAAATTTTAACCATTATAGGTAAACTGGTATGTTACCCTACACTGGGAAAAATGATGGACGAGTGCTTAATTTGCTACAATGTGCAAAGACCCTCACACGCGGCAGCAATAGCTTGCATAGACCACAGACCGATGGGGACAGAAAACCTTTCAGAACGTCATTCTGAGAGGTCATCGCGGCTGAAAAAAAAACAAGACCAGTGTTCTTGAAGATACTGGAGACATCAACTCAAGTTCTCGAAGACAAGTTCTTGAAGTTATTGAAAACTTCAAGTTCATGAACACATAACACTTTCACCGGCGGTTAGAGACCAATGGCGATATTGTCACTGAGATATGTGAGACATTGTGCGTGCGTGCTCCCCCCCCCCTCCCTCTTTTCCTGTTGCTCTAACTGTAATCTCGGATAATCGAAGTTGTGCACTGGCACGCGAGGCTCACCTAAAGGAGTGACTGGGAGGGTATGGTTGTCCGGGCGTGGCCTCGTGAGACGGTCCGGTCTACGGGAGGTGACCAGAGTGTTGCTCCGCGGTGTCGTGGATTCGCAGGCCGGGTGACCGTGGTGGGGGGGAGGACGGGGGTCAGGTCAAATCAGCATCACCAGGGACGAGTTCCTGCAGGACCATGAAAATAAGCAGGTATAAAGAACGTGGTCAGTATAGCTTTCGGAAACAACACCATCATCATCATCTCCACTATCAACATCACCATCATAATCATGATCACCAACATTGCCATTATCATAACAACAACAACCAGAGGGTGAAGAATGATAAACCAAGTGCAAGATTTGCACTCCATATTCGAATTGTAGTTCACTTTATTTCACCAGAAATGACCTGAATAACTGCCAAGACAAAAACAAGTAATGAAACAGCTTCATAGGGATACATAGGCCCGCATTCACGAGCCAACCTTGGTCTTACCTCACGTTTTCCTCAAGTTCCTGTACTCTCTACTTTCGTTATAAGGGCAAAGAAAATGTAACAGGGTAAAAGATCACAGCGAGATTGCTTCATGAATACTCGCCTACTTTATCCATAGAGCACAATGAAGACTTAAAACTGTTAAGGACAACTCGAGGTAAGGTTGAGGTTGGTTTGTGAATATGGACCATAGATTCAGTGGACAGCGAGAGCAGCAACGTTTTAATGTTGAAGCAGACTCCGTACGATAAGATTCAACGAAGCCACAAGAAAAATAACCGGTTATTTAACATTACATATTTTTTGTTTTGTTTCGCCCACTCGATGCTTAATGTCATAAGACAAAACTCACGCAAACACAGAAGAGCGCCCGGCTCCTTCATGTAGTAGCCTGACCATGGCTGCACGCTCGTCATATCTGTCAACTTATATATCTGCTGCGAATCCAAGGCTTTCGCAAGGACGACACTTAACGAACAGCCTTTAAGATGAACAGTAGATCTTACAGATCCCAAAGCACAATGATGCAGGCGAGTTTAGTACAGCATACTGTGTGGAAGTCAAGTCGTACATCACGTTACGCTAGACCATTGTTGTTAGCCAGCTAGCCTCACGCAAGTAATGCCGAATTGCAAGCGCTTTCATCCTAGCTCTCATGCTTTGAAGTGCAGCCTGAAACTCAGTCGTGCTAGAAAAAAAAAGCAGACGACAGTGCTATTTGTTGAAATCAGTTGAAATACGGCCCGATTTTTTCCTTTATTTCCCCGATACTATATATACTGACCAAGACATCGAATACTTTGGCGATGCATGTTAAATTTCTTATAGTTGGCAGAGTTGGCCAAGGTCTGACTCGACGATGTCCACAAAAGGCTTCGCATTTAAAGCAGGCGCCATCATTGAAACTTCGCTTTTCATTCGGACGTAGTCGTTTGGAAAGACAGATTTATTTGCTAAACACACACGCACAGAAAACAGCCGGCTCTCCCTTAATTTATTAATTATTTCGGACAATTGCACTGCGCAGATGTCTTATCCTGCCTATTCTATGTAGTGCATACGTCAATGCAAACGGATTCTTTTTCGTTCTTTCCTTTCATCATACCTCGCTTCATTTAACAACACGAACTCTGTTCCACTGGGTTTCTACGCATATTTAAACTGGCAGTTCGGTTACGGTTAGCAAGGCTTTCGTATCCTAGAGGAAGGCGACTGACAGTGTTACGCTTTTATTTATTTATTTTTGCTCCGAGAATTGTTGTCTCTTCACTTCTCCGTCAGTGTATCTTCGAAACCCAATGCTGCATACTGATGAGCATCGCCTTAGTGGAGAACCAGCCGTAAGCGGAAAACTTCGATGGTTAGTTGTAAGCTCAGCAAAGAATATCGGAGTGCTTCACTGAACAACGACCATTCGCAAAATTAAAATTCTGATGGCGTTTTTTTTTGTTTTCCGAAGAGGAGTTGCGCAAAGCTTCGACGAGCGCCAGAAGCTATAGTATATAAGCAAATGAAAAAAAAAGAACATTGGGGGGGAGATGGGAGGGAGAGGGAGCGTCGCTCATCATCACTTCAGCTCCAAACTTTTATTGCAGACTGCTGCACGCATGAAAGTGACCAGGTTGTCATCTAATCTCACTTATCACTCCCCAATCCACACAGGAAACCCACGGAGACGAGAACGTATAATTTAGACCTTTAATTCTGAAGCTAATTAAACTTTATTAGATGGTTTCACTGTTAAACATATTCCTACCAAACCGACAATGCCGCTAGAGCTCTGTAATATTGCACTTCTCTCGTGTAGAGCCCAGACCAACGAAGCAGCTAAGACTGTTCAATATCAAGCATTCTTTCAATCCAGCTTCAGTCGTTACCAAGCCACGATGCCACTAAAACTTGCTAACATAACTGGTTGGCTCTGAGATAACGAAGACTGGCTCTTACGGCATCGTGAACGTAGCCACCTACAAGAACTCTCCAAAACGAATGAATAAACGAATGAATAAATGAGTGAGTGAATGAATGAATGAATGAATAAATGAATCAAATTTATTAATTTGTGTTTAAAGGCAAAATGACAATACGAAAGAGTAAATTTTTAACCACGACGTCGCTAAAATCACCGATGTAGAGTTTTATTAAAGTGAAGCTTCTATTGCGATTTTGAATAAAACAGCTACGGAAATCGAGTTTGTACCAAACTGTATATGCCGAAAGAACCGTACGGTATATTCACTCTTCTGATAAACGAGGTACTTCTGGGGATTATCCTACCACCTTTTTTTTCGCTCTCGTACATCAACGTCTGATTAATCGACAACGTCACTGAAATTGGCTAACGTAACTTTCGTCCTTGATGAACCAGGACAAATCTTTAACAGTGTGCTGTAGTTCATCGTTGAGGTCATGTTCCTGACGGACAGCCTCACTAAAATCCCCTTACTGCAGACATGAGGTCTCTACATAACTGACAGCGTCGTAATAAATGCTTCCGCTCAAGTGCGTCATATCGGCGTGCCAACAAACGTGTGCTTCGAAGGCGGCGTTGCTATACTAAGACCGCAAAGATAGCTAGCCTCCCAACTAAGTCAAAGATGTCAATAAAACTTTTTGTTAACTTTGCCCGTTATTGAAGAAAAAAAAATGAATTCAAAGCTTGCCTCCTCGGGGCACTATGTACTCTGTTAAACTACCAACGTTCCGCACAGAACAGACAATGTCATTGCAACCCCCAACGACAGACTCACGTCTACATCGAATCGACGACATCGTAATCATTGTTTCCGAGTGCAGTGCGTCATAATGGCGCGCTAAAAACACGTTCTTTTAAGGCAGTGACGTCATCAATGCAGTAGACAGTGCTAGATTTCCAAGAAAACCGATAAGACGTCTTTAAAAGGTTTACCGAGGTATTTCGCCACTGAAAAGAAAGTATACTTCACGGACGGCGTCACTGAAAACTCTCTAACCTAACTTTCCCTCTTTGAAACCAAGAATGAATCTAAACAATGTTCCTTTTCGGGGCACTCTGTATACATTGGCTCATAACGAATCTCACCTTCACTATGAAGAGAGGACACCACCGAAATCGCCTAACGAGTTAGACACCATAGAACACAGGCGAAAACAAGCACACGAGCACAAGCGATTGTCCCCCGTAGGCTTGTGGTCCGTGTTCTCTACCGCGCAGTATACAGATCGATCACGAATCACCAACCGGCCGGATCGTCCACTTTGATAGACATGCGGTCTATAATCACGTCGATGGCGTCGTAAAGGTGTCTGCCGCACCAGGGCGTCCTATCGCAACGCCAACTAAAGTGTGCTTCGGAGGCGGCGTGGTTACTAAGGTGGCGGAATGAGCGGACTGTCCAATCACAACAGCCGACGTCACTAAAGGGACTCTGACACTCATATTTAAAGACGATAGTATTTCTTGGGGACTTTCGACGGAAACATTTTGGTCTGTCTGTCTGTCTGTCTGTCTGTCTGTCTGTCTGTCTGTCCGTCCGTCCGTCCGTCCGTCCGTCTGCCTGCCTGCCTGCCTGCCTGTCTGTCTGTCTGTCTGTCTGTGTGCCTGTCTGTCTGTCTGTCCATCCGTATGTCTGTCTGTCTGTCTGTCTGTCTGTCTTTCTGTCTGCCTGTCTGTTTGTCTGTCTGTTCGTCCGTCCGTCCGTCCGTCTTTCTGTCTGTCTGTCTGTCTGTCTGTCTGTCTGTCTGTCTGTCTGTCTGTCCATTTGTCTGTGTATGCTCCCTCACCGATACCTCAAACGGCACCAAACGGCCAACCTCATCCGCAGCGCCCACCAATATTGCTCAAGATTCGGCGTTCATGCTTGTGCGATTGCCAATTAAAAAGCAACTGTTGCGCATATCTGAGGCACCATAACAACACGTCGTTGTTTTGTATGTGTGCCTTTATACTAGAGAAGGCACACACAGGTAATTCGAAGGACCGTAGTTTTTACCACGCTGAGCTGACAGTGCAACCTGATGCTCAAAAAGGTGAGTGCTTCCAACGCTTTGATAAGACAACACGGTGGTGGCACCTGCCCGTCGCTTTGCGTTCTACACCTTATCGCCTCTGAGACAAGCGCGCATCTTACTCCACGGGCGCGCACGCCTTCCTTCGTTTTCCAACTGCCAGATGGCGCTCGTTCGCCTCCGCTACACGCTCGAGGCACTAACGCAGCGCCTCCAGAATACCGTTCACCAATGTTCTTGCGCCTAACATCAACTACACGTTTTGTTCACTCTTTCCAGACGCAAGACTATCGTCTTTCGACGACATATATGCATTGTAACATGCAGATTCGGGGCCGATTGTTTTCGCGACTAATAACCAACGTACTTATCGGATGATGTCCCCAAAACTCCCTCGAATAGAGTTTACCCCGCATAGAACCAAGAACGAATATGCTGACTTTTTTGGGGAAAGAACGATAAACGTGGGCTCATCATATACGTCTTGTTCCGAACAGACAAGTTCCCTAAAACTCCCTAACGACAGACACGCCAGATATACTCAACCAACGGTGTGGTAACCATCCTCGCTGCCCCAGTGTGTCGTAGCGACGCACCAAAACATGTGATTCAGAGTTATCCCCGTTACTATGCCAACGGAGACAGGAACGAAACTAACGACGTCATTAAAACACCCTGGCCTGGCTTTTTGTCCTAATGAA